GGGTTGGGGCCGTGTGTGTGGGGAAGACAGCGAGCAGGGTAGCTCTGAGCACCAAAAACACATCTGACATTTGGTTCTTGTGTCTGCGGATAAAATTTAATGAGAACAAAATATGTCTTCCTAATTCCCCCAAGAAATCATTAAAACATTTTGTTATTCTTAAATGTCTCAGAATGAATTAGAGCCCCTAAAGGGGCTGTTCGTATGGTACGTCTCCATCATTTAGGGCTCCTCATTCTCTAACTTGGTGACAGCTGGGGACATACGTTTCCCCCTGCCCCTCCATTTCCGGGGAGGGAGCTGGGAAATCAGACGCGTGGAGTCAGCACCAGGCTGGGAACAACCCTTTGGGGAGAGGGCGAGAGGACACAAGGACCTTCTGGAAAGTTCCTGCCTGTCTTGGGGGCTCTCAAGGCCCCCCAGCTGGCACTGCAATCCTGGCCTTGTGATTGTGATAACAGCCGTATCTCCAGAGAGATGAGGGTCCCATAATGAACCCCAGAAATGAGACCTCCTTTTCAAGTGGAGGCTGTAAGCGCCTTCTCATTCCCAAGCACTAGAGTCGTTGGTGTTCCCCTGGGTTTGTGACAGCAGGCTGGTTATTCGAGCAATGATCTGGTCACCTCTGCCACCAGAATGCAAGCTCCCTGAGGGCTGGGCTCCGTCTGCATCAGTGAGCTCATGGTCATGTTCCCAGTGTCTTGCAAGTGCCAGGCACACAGCAGGCACTCAATAAATGCTATCTGAGTAAATAAACACATGACAAGCAGAGGGCTTTTTATTCAAATAACCCTTCCTCCCCTTTCTGCATCTGAGTTGTATTTCTAATTCATTCACCGAACAGTTATTAGGTGCCTACTGTGTACGGTGTTCTGGGTTATAAAATTAGTATGACTCAGTCGCAGGCTTGGAGAATTTTACTTCTCCAAGGGAAGCCAGATACTACAAGATAGTAGGTGTCACTTAGCAAAGTACCACTATGTGCCATGCTTGCCGAAGCCTCCCACAGCTGTATGAGGTAGGTCCTCATATTACTCCCAATCTATAGAAGAGGAGACTGAAGCTCAGGGAGGTGAATTAATTCATCCGCAGCCACCCCGTGAGTAAGCGGTACAAGCAGGACTCCAACCTGGATCTGGCCCTAAGCCTGGAAACACAAGCCTGTATCAGAGCTGCCCCTGGTGCTATAGATGAGGTACTATGGGGCCCAGTGAAGGAGCCTCGTGTGAGGACTCCTACGAGGCAACTTTGGGCTCTGTACTGAGTCACCCTCCAATGTCATTTGTTATTGAGACTGTGGGTCTTGAAAAATTGAAAAGAGTGTGAAATAGGAGGGTATATTTTTCCAAAATGTTTCGGAATAACTCTGATGAGGGTGAAGACCTTATAAACAAAAAGCTGCAAAGGGCTCCCTCTTGCAACTCGGCCACCGACATGCCATCCAGACTGAGGAAGACCGGAAACTTTGGGGCCACGTGAGCCACGGCCACGGCCGCATCGGCAAGCACAGGAAGCACCCGGGGGGCCGCGGGAATGCTGGCGGCCTGCATCATCACAGGATCAACTTCGACAAATATCACCCAGGCTACTTTGGGAAAGTTGGTATGAGGCATTACCACCTGAAGAGGAACCAGAGCTTCTGCCTAACTGTCAACCTTGATAAACTGTGGACCCTGGTCAGTGAGCAGACACGGGTGAATGCTGCCAAAAGCAAGACTGAAGTTGCTCCCATCATTGATGTGGTGCGATCGGGCTACTACAAAGTTCTGGGGAAGGGAAAGCTCCCAAAGCAGCCTGTCATTGTGAAGGCCAAGTTCTTCAGCAGAAGAGCCGAGGAGAAGATTAAGGGTGTTGGTGGGGCCTGTGTCCTGGTAGCTTGAAGCTACATGGAGGGAAGTTCATTAAAATGTCCAAGTACTTAAAAAAAAAATTCTTACAGGTTCTAGGAGTTAGGGTATCAAGGCCTGGGGTCCTCTGCAAACTTCCGTGAGGAAGAAAGAAGCCTTTTGACCAATCCTGACTTGAACTTTTTCATTTATAAAGTGAGAATGATACCTGTTGGTAACGCTTGTGTAGATAAGTATTAAATAGTTGAAAGGTTAAAAAAAAAAAGCTGCAAAGGGCTTCTTGGATATGTCTGGTGTGGTCTTCAGGGGCTGCAGACACATGGCTATTTCAGTCTCACACTACAGGACTATGCCATCTGGGGGTGAGAGTGGGGCAGGGCACAGAGCCCTGGGGGGGCTGTGCTGTTTAGCGCCAGCCATTCTCACCACCAAAGCATTCTCATTGAGAAAGCCCACATGGTCATGCTGCCTTCCTGAAAGTAGAATCAGGGCAGAGCATAGGACTGGGGCAGAGGGGGTCAAGGCTGCATATGCCTCTGTAGGGGGCTGAATGGTGACCCCCAAGCATATGTCCATGTCCTAATCCCTGGAACCTGTGAATGTGACCTTATTTGGAAAAAGCGTCTTTGCAAATGTAATGAAGTTAAAGATCTTGAGATGAGATGGTCTTGGACTATCTGGGTGGGCCCTAAATCCAATGACCCCAAATCCTTATTAGAGAAAGGAGAGGGAGATCTGGGACACGAGACAAAGAGAGAAGAAGCCCATGTGAAGACAGAGGCAGAGACTGGAGTGATGTGGCCACAAACCCACCCTAATTCCAGGATGATCTCATCTAGAAGTCCTTCACTAACTGTACCTGCAAAGACCCTGTTTCCAAATAAGGTGACATTCTGAGGTTCAGGGTGGCCATGAATTTTGGGAGGATCTTTTCTTTTTTTTTTTTTTTTAAATATATTTTATTGATTTTTTACAGAGAAGAAGGGAGAGGGATAGAGAGTTAGAAACATCGATGAGAGAGATCTATCAGCTGCCTCCTGCACGCCCCCCAGTGGGGATGTGCCCGCAACCAAGGTACATGCCCTTGACCGGAATCGAACCTGGGACCCTTCAGTCCGCAGGCCGACGCTCTATCCACTGAGCCAAACCGGTTCGGCGGGAGGATATTTTCTAAAGTTGCCCAAGACAGGTGAAATGAGGAACGCTCCTATCCTAAATTCAAAGATCCCACAAACAATTTTTATTTCAAATGTTAATGACTCTGCCTTCTCTGTGGCTTGGCTTACAGTGGGATTGTACTTTCCTCTTCAATCAAACCCCAATCAATACCCACAGCACTGATTCCTGCAGCTCATGGAAGGACGTGGGAAAGGTCAGGGGGCTGTCTGAGTAGAGGGAGTTAGCACAGTGGGGTCTCCTCACAGCTCCACCACTGTTAACAAATCACTACACCTTTCTAGGCTCTCTTTTCTGAGTCAATAAATGAGATGGTGGCAAAGGATGGGCCATTTTTAATAAGTCCAACTTTTTATAGAAGTATATCAAGAAACAGCATCTCCAGCCTCCGGAGGCCCCTCCCAGGAACTGTTGCCACTCGATGTCTAACAACACAGGTTAATGTTTTTTAAATTGAGGTGAAATTCTTATAACATAAAAGTAACCATTTAGCCCTAACCAGTTTGGCTCGGTGGATGGAGCGTCGGCCTGTGGACTGAAGGGTCCCGGGTTCGATTCTGGTCAAGGGCATGTGCCTTGGTTGTGGGCACATCCCCAGTGGGGGGTGCTCAGGAGGCAGCTGATTGATGTTTCTCTCTCATCGATGTTTCTAGCTCTCTATCCCTCTCCCTTCCTCTCTGTAAAAAATCAATAAAATATATTTTTTTAAAAAAGTAACCATTTAAAAGTGTACAATTCAGCAGCATTAGTATAACCACCACCTTTATCTAGTCCCAAAACATTTTTATACCCTTAAAAGGAAACCTGGTACCCATTAAGCACTCACTCCCCATTCCCTCCTCCCTGCCTGCCTGGTAATCATCAATCTGATTTCTGTCTCTATAGATTTGCCTATTTTGGACACTTCATATAAATGGAATCCTTTATTATGGCCTTTTATGATTGGCTTATTTCACCCAGGATCATGTTTTTGAGGCTCATCCACATTGTAGCATGTGTCAGTGTTATTCTTTTTACTAGTGGCCCGGGGCATGAAATTCGTGCACATTAAAAGGGAATTAATTAGAGGAAATATTTTAATATTGGTATTTGCCCTTCTCTATAATAGAAGTGTCAGAAATGAAAGAAAATTAGTAAAATGTATATGAAAATCTCCCTCCTGTCAGAGTCTGGAGCACACCACGGGGCCCAGAGTCAAGTCCCTGCCCACCCGCGTGCGCCTTGAAATCATGCAAGATCCAGCCCCGGCCAGCCCCACCCCCGTCAAGCCCCACAGGGCAGGGGCACAGCCTCGGGTCCCGCGGTCCGGCCTCAGGTCCCCCTGGCCCCGGTGCAAGGGCGTGAGGGTGTGATGACCATTTGCATATTAGCTCTTTATTATATAGAATTACTGAATCATAGACCATTGAATGGACAGAGCTTATTTGTTTATCCATTCATCCATCGATGGACATTTGGATTGTTTCCCCCTTTTGGTCACTGTGAATAGTGCTGACAGGTTAATTTTTGTCTGTCTTCAGGTTTTATGTAAATAGAGCAATATAGTACATGTTTTTTTGGGTTTGGCTTTTGCTGTCATCAAATTTTTGAGTTTGGCTGCACCATGTTGGAGGAAACTTTTGAGGTCTTTCTTTCAGCACACTGCTGGCAGAAAGCACTTGGTGCCATTTGTCCTCTGTGGGGGGCAAGACAGGCTTCTTGGATTCCCAAGAAAGTCCAGGTGGGAGATCATGCCAGGAGCCCCCCAAAGCTCTCTGGCTGACATTAGAAGGTAGTGGGGGAAGATGGAGAATCCATGTGGGGATGTCACACCAGACTGGGCACAGAACCTATCACCCCCCACAATCCCCACCCATGGAAGGCATGAACTTGCCCAGGAGTCTCAGCCTATTCCCAGACCCCACCATGAGGAAGCTCCTGTGTAATGGCTGTTTCTTCTAATTAATTCTTTAATTATGGAGCCCAAGCATTTCTTACCTGGTGTTTCAATTAATTGCTTGTAAACACTCAAGAAAGCAGCCTCAGCTTCCTGACTTCTTTTACTAAGGGCCACCACCTTTGGAAACAAAAGAAAAAGTCATGTGTAACCATGGTATATGAGCCTACAAGCAAATTTGATCATTTTCAACCTGTGCAAACATGGGATGGGAGATGGGAGAGGGAAAATGAAGGTTGAAAGTATGGAGTTAGAAAATTCAGGTTCACATCCCAGCTCTACTGCATTCTGGCTGTGTAACCTTGGGCAAGTCACTGGCCCTCTCTGACCCTCAGTTTCCTCATCTGTAAAATGGGAGTAAGTAATAGAACCTACTTCCTAGGCCTGTTGTGAGGATTAAATGAAACTGCATATAAGCAGCTATTAGCACAGGGCACATAGTACGTTATTTATAGTTACTATTATTATTCTTATTATTAAAAGGCCACACTGGATGTTCAAACATGACCCATGTTATGAGGAAAAGGGAGGCACACTGGGGAATATTTCTTGCCACTGAAAATTAAAGAGAAATCATGGAATCTCTAGTAAGATAGCAAATAGCTTCAACAAATGTCAAGGGTGACAGGGTTATATGAAATAGTTCCTGGTATACCAAAGGCACTCAATAAATGCTTCTTGACTGATATACATGGGTGACTAACTCAGTGGTGACCTACATTCACTAGCTCATTTTCTTGCTCATAGGCTTTTCTTGTTCTGCCAGTTTGACTCTATGAGATGCATTTAAGAGAGACATAGCTGGGGCTCAGCTCCACATCCATCTGCTCTGGGCTCTGAATTCCGAGCTCTGGCCTCAAGCTGTTTTGATGGTGGCTCTTGATGGTCAGTCCCTTTGGCTTAATCCTGGCCTCCCCTGCATATGAGCTCCTGGTACCCATGTGCTACCATCCCTACCCTCCTCAAGGATATCCTGGGGCGGGTATCTCACTTTGGACTGGAACAGCTTTATTCTCCCTGGCATCAATATACCTCTCTGTCTGGTGCCAACTTCCTAAACCAGCGGTTGCCAACCTTTCGGATCTCACCGACCACCAGTGGTCTGCAGACCACCGGTTGGTGACCGCTGTCCTAAACGATGAATCTATCAGAGCATCTACTTCTCAATCACCCTCTTTCAGAGTTGGGCTTTTCTTATGAATCCCAGTGAATCCCAACTAAGAGGGTGTTTGTTATTGGATTCCTTCCCTCTGGGAGCACACTGTCTGGTGCACAGAGGGTGCTCAACACAATTTGTTGAAAGAACAAATCCAAGTGGGTTGCACCCACTTGGGTCCTGTCCGACACCATTCTGGAGAAATGACTGGGGCCAATTCTGAGACAGTCCATTCACACAGTGGCCAACTGAGGCACAGGCCCTGGAGACAGGCCACCTGGGTTCAAACCCAATAAGTTCTATCACTTACTATATGTGTAGCCTTTGACAGGCAGGACACTTAAATCCCTGTACCTCTACTTCCCCAGGTGTAAAATGGAGATAATAATATGATAACCTTCCTTAAATGGTTGCAAGAGGATCAAATGATTTAACACAGGTAAAGTCCTGTGCAAGACTCCTGGCATGCATTAAGCCCCATAGATATGTCACCTCTTGGTATGAGCAACCCCTTCCTTCTTGCCTATTATGGGGACAGGCTCTGCCCAGTGCTAGGTGGTAAGCCTCAGTTGTGTTCATCTCTGGTCTCCTATGGAGAGCACCTGAGCAGTGCACTTTGGGAAGAAGAATTAGAAAGCCACAGTGGCTCCTCTAAGGCAGTGGTCAGTAAACTGTGGCTCGGCAAACCACGCCTTGCGAGCCACATGTGGCTCTTTGGCCCCTTGAGTGTGGCTCTTCCACAAAATATCGGCTCTTCCACAAAATACCGACTTCTGTGCATGGGCCACGAAGTTTCAATTGCACTGTACGTGCGCGCCCACATGTGATATTTTGTGGAAGAGCCACGCTCAAGGGGCCAAGAGCCGCATGTGGCTCGTGAGCCGCGGTTTGCCGACCACGGCTCTAAGGCTTCCAAAATGGCAGCCATAAGTCTCATGTGGCTACTGAGCACTTGAAATGTGATGAGTCCAAATGGAGATGTGCTGTGAGTACAGAATACACACTGGATTTTAAAGACTTACTATGAAAAAACAGACTTTACTACAGTTTATTGGCATTTTTTATACTGATTACATGTTGAAATGATAACATTCTGGATATCATAGGTTAAATAAAACCTATTTATTATTATTCACGTTACCTGTTTTCTTTCTTTCTTTTTCTTTTTTAAAATATATTTTTATTGATTTCAGAGAGGAAGGAAGAGGGAGAGACAGACAGAAACATCCATGATGAGAGAGAATCATGGATCGGCTGCCTCCTGCAAGTCCCCCACTGGGGATCGAGCCCACAACCCAGGCATGTGCCCTTGACTGGAATCAAACCTGGGACCTTTCAGTTCGCAGGCCGACACTCTATCCACTGAGCCAAACTGGCTAGGGTTACCTGTTTTCTTTTACTTCCTAAAAATGTAGGAAATGAAAAATATAAAAATATATTCATGGATCTCACTGCATTTCTATTGGACAGTGCAGCTTGAAGGATTTACAAGATCCACATTGAATTCATTATTTAAGAGGGGTAGAGAGAAATGTATGGTGGATATTGAGCAAGTGATTTTTAAAAAGTCAGTTACAAAAACTCCTTAAGCTCTCTTGTTATTGTGAGAACAGTCTCTGATCTTTTGCCTTCCAGAGTGAATGAGAGTACTCTCATTCATTCAACAAACATTTCTTGAGCATCTGCTCTGTGCCAAGCACTATGGGCTGAGAACTCAGTGATGAAAGAGGCTGACTCAAGCCCCACCCATATTGACCTCCAACTGGGGAGACTGACATTATAGCAGATTCCCCAGATAATTAATTATAAGAGCTAAATGCTTCAAACAGGCCTTGAGTGTGTGCAAGTGGGGGAGGCTGACCCAGTTTGGTGGGTGGAACATCAGGAACTGTCTCTTCAAGAAGGGGAAGATGGTGGACAGAAAGAATGTTCTAGGATCCAGGCAAAGGGAAAATCACCAAGTGTGGGCAGATTTTTATTCTTGCTGAGATGGACAAGACACAGTTTCTGCTTTGGGGAATCACAACTAAGTGGGAGACACAGCTACGCCCAAGAGGAACCACAACATGGGAGGAGGTGATGCAAACACTGGGGCTCCTAGAATAATGTGAGGGGGCAAATAATTCAGATTTTTTTGGGGGGGCATTCCTGATGGGCCAATAATAATAACAATAAATGTAATATTCATATGTGCCATATGCTCTTACTATTCATGATCATCTCTCTCCATAGACATACCAATCACTGAAGGTAGCTGCTGTCATTATCTCCATTGTACAGAAGAGAAAACCAAGGCTCAAGGAGGTTAAGTAACCTGCCTAAGATTACGCAGTTAGTAAATGGTAGAGCAAGAGTCACACAGGTCTGGAGGTTCAAATTACTGTTCTGAATCCAGACACTGGCCCCTTTCTCCTGGATAGAAAAAACCCTCCCAGCCTATAGGGACAGTCACTTGGACCCCCCTCCCCCCATGGATGCTGTTATCTATGGCTGTACCAGGTCAGGGGCTGCTGTGCTGCCCACCTGGAGCCCAAGAAAAGCCATGAGAAATTCATCTCCTGATCCCTGCATGGAGAATTATCAGAGTAGTCAGTGAAAAGTCTTAATGCTTCATTTTATAGTCATCACTCTGAGCATGTGTGGTGGCTGGGGTTTGGGGAAAGGCATTAGAATATTCCATGGACTTCTAAAAAGGAACCCTGGGCGGAAGTGGGGGAAAGTGCTAGAAGATTTCTTTAATGTTTCCCTATCTCTGCCTACAGCACCCTCTATTTTTCATTCATGGCTCTTATCACTTTATAATGGTGTATTGTTTATATGTGACTGCCTTCTTATAGGTCTCCCTACTAGAGCTGTGCTGTCCATACAGTAGCCACTAGCACATGTGGCCACTGAGCACTTGAAATGTGACTCAGATGAGCTGTAAGTATAACATATGGAATTTATAAGTCTTGGAATGTAAAAAGGATTACATAATATCTCAATAAATTTTACAATGATTTTATGTTGAAAATGATAATATTTTGGACATATTGGGTTAAAATATATTGTTAAAATTAAATTCATCTGTTTCTCTATACTTTTAAAAATGTAGCTATTAGAAAATTTTAAATTACATGTGGCTTACTTTATATTTAAACTGGACAATACTGGTGTAGAGCAAGAGTTGGCAAACTATGGCCCTTCCTCTGTTTGTATAAATAAAGTTTTATTGGAACACAGCGATAGCCATTCTTTTATGTATTGGCTGCTTTCATGCTACAATGGCTGAGTTCAACAGTTGTGACAGACATCCTGACTGCAAAGCTGAAAATATTTACTGCCTGGCCCTTTACAGAAAATGTTTGCTGATCCCTCATTTAGAGGTTTTCTAAATGGCTGGACAATATTTTCAAAAGCAGAGATCAGAAAACATCCTGACTGGCATCCAGTTTGAATTGGTTCAAGTTTAGAGCTTCCCATAATAAATATGAGTCCTGAAGACAGTAGCCGTTTGGATATCTAACTTGTTTAGCCTTGTTTTAGAGTAATGACCTTGTCTGTTTCCAGAAAGCCAGTTCTGATGGTTCACAGCCCAATCTAGTGCTGGGCCTAAATGTCATCAAGCATCACCTGGCCTCAGCTTGTTCATCCATCAGGTGGGAAGAAAAATTTCCATCTGCCTCAGAAGCTATTGGAGAGGAATGAGCTAACATGTGGCAAAGAGTCCCATGGAAGTTGGCAAAAAATTTTATAACAAATCAGATAATTCTTCTTCCAACCATATAGGATGTCTTTTCCAAGGTCTGCAGCTCGAATGCATTTCACTCATGTGCCCAGAACAGGTGAGCACAGCATAAATAAAAGGCCACGTGTTTCTACCATGCAGAAGGGTGGGAGAAAAGTATTCAGAATGACAGATTTGGTTTGTGACAGGCAGATCTCTGAAGGCCATCTGGGAAAGGAGGAGGAAGAAGTGGAGGAG